TCAATTTCTTGCATTAATTCTCCAGCACTGTTCTTTTTACCTTCTGTGTTTCTCTTCTGAAAACATGTTCTTAGGGTATTATTATAGATGGCCATTCATCATTTTGGCATTGAATGTAGTTACTTTTAAGTAAAATATTTCATGTTATCCCATTTGTAGAACCTGTCAATCTAGAATGCTCTAAAAAACCCCTAGCAATTACCCAAAAAAATAGATTCCAAGAAAATATACACAAGGATAAATTTTTATGCATGACATAAAATGGTTAGTACTTCTTAGTGTTTTGAAATCTGTTGCTAGCCTGCTCTCTGTTAAGAGAAGAGATAATTTACAAACCAATTTTGCAAACAGATTTGTAGATTTGGGGGTTGTGTATATATATATTTAAAAATGTACAACATATCAAGAGATTATTTCCAAATAGAAAGGATGTTAATAGCATTATACAGGATCTAGTGCAATCCAATCTGGAATACTGGAAGTGCAGAAAATGTTTACTGTTCAGACACTGAGAAAATACCACGAGTAACAATTTAAAAAGCATGGCTGCTTCACCTTAACAAAACAAAAATTGAAAGGCTATTTAATTATATTTATGAATAGACCAAGGATAGTGTTGACATGATGAATGGATGTGCTTGGCCATGAATAAATTTTAGACTGAAAAGTAAAAGGAAATCGCTGGCGGTGTGAAGTTTAGCAAAAGTCTTCCAATTGAAATAGCGGTGAGTAAGATGGAACTTCATTGGTATGTAAAGGAATTAACGAAGTAATTCTCTCTGACATTACTTGTATGACTAATCCTGTAGATCCCTTTCAGTTTGTGTTCCTCAACCAAAAAACGATTTTGTGTCTTGAAAAAGAATAACAAAAATCTAAGTTGAAAATGTCTGTGGGAAACAAATGTAAGTTGCCTGATAGTAGTGTTAAATAGACATGTCAGTAAAAATGAGCAGACATCAAATGAGATTTAAAGATGGATTGAAGGATAAAGGCAAATGAGTAAGACTGACTGAGAAATGCTAAATACGATGATTTTTTGTGACTAAAGATGTCTAGAGTTAACTGGTGTTTCTGTATTTTGGAGGTTCTGAGGAAGCTGTTTGATACTAAGTTACTGGCTAAGTGATTGTGATGTATTTTCCACTAACTTAGCCAAAATCATGGTATTTCAGAGGCACAAATGTAGGCTAAATTGTAACTTATTTTTATTTAAATTTGAGTTGTACATATAAAGCTATTGCTACTTTTCTTTTCAACTTGGAAAACCAAAAAAATCCAAACCCACAAATATTTCTCCCTCAATGATTAGATCATTTTATCTTTGGGAAAAGCAGTTTAATTATTTCTCCACAAATACTACATTATCTATTCGATATTTATAGATTTTGGAAATGTGTTATTTTTGAAGCTCTTTACTTACAGCTTCAGAGTTTCCAGTTCATTTCTTAGAGTGTGAAGCAGAAATTCGTGAATGAATTAATGTATGAAAATTCCTCCATAGTCAGGTAACTCAACTGAAAATACCACTAAAGAAGATAAATAACAGAACATCTAAGATGATCCCAAAGGCAAGAGCAGATCTTCTGAGGTAGTAACGAGAGAAAACACTGATGTTACAGAGGACATACGTATATAATGTTGCAGTTTCTCAACAGACTTTATCTGACAAAATGTTGGCAAGGTACATGTGCCTCCTTACATATTTTAAGTACTTAATGAATAATTAGTGCATCATTTTTGATGAAATGATCATGAAATGGTATGAAATTAAAAAATTATTGTTAATAATTAAAAAATGTACTAATGTAGATGCTATGACCTTATTCCCCTGGGACGTATGATTCTCTAGCGCTTATAATGCCGGGGAAGACACCTAGCAATAGGTTGCTTACAAGATACGTATGTTACTAGAGATTTGTTTCTTTTAAGACTACCAGTTGTTTATGTCTTGGAATCCTGGGACCTTGGGACATTAAAACTGAATTTATTTTATATCAAACAAAATAAATATTAGAGACTTTATTCTCAGTTACGATGGTAACCAGGTAGTATGGAAGGATTCATGGGTAAATGAAAATGAGACCCCCAGATTTTTATTGTAGCTCACAGAAAAGTGAAATAACAGGAAATAAAAATTTTGTCTTAAATACCTGAAAGAAAGCTGAATCTTTTGAAAGTTATGAACTCAAGATACTAGCCAGAATGCTTGCAAACAAGCAAGTATGCATCTTCCTCCTTCTGTTCACCTTGTAGCTCTGCAAAAATCCAGCCATGTAATTTTTGCCTCATACCAAACCACCATGTCTGACATCCATAAAGCAAAGCCCTCATACTCTCTTAAACAAGCAACTGTTTAATTAAATCTTTCATTTTTAAGAAGCATTTGTGTGTGTGTGCGCGCACGTGTGCGTTGTGTTCGTAAAGAAGAAGATGATCAGTACTCATTCCGTCTTTGCTGTTTTACATTATCATTGTCATGTTCTCTGTAATAACTTACTTGCCAGGTTAATGTAGTCTCTGGAAACTGAATATTCAACTGCATCTTATTAACTGGGCTAAGAAGTTTATTCTGAGTAGTTCAGTTAACTGGTATTCTGTTACACTGATGCACCTGGAGACTGGGCTCAATGCAACAGGTTGTTGCTACCACTACAAGCACACCAACCTGAGTTCTGCCCTTGATTTTCAGTCGAGCCTGTGGTTGGATGCATATGGGATTCCCAAGCTTCCTTTACCAACATACTGTCCTTGTGAATCGCAGAGTATGATGGATTTGTACATGACTATATTTTAAAGCATTTACCTTTAGACAAGTCTTTTGTCTACCCCTTCTACCACTGAATTTTAAGGAAAGTTGCAGTTACCAGAAAGGTTTTTCAGAAGAGAGAGTGGATGATACCTTTCTTATGGAAAGATATTCACAATGTGAAAGTTTCCTCCATAATGGGTTTTATGTTTCTTTGGTATTCAATTATAAAATAAGTGTCTTGTCTTCTGAACTGGGAACATAATAGGATATAAAACAAAAAATTTTCAATACAATTTCTTGATAAGGGGATGGAGATTTTCCTTCATGCCAGTGGAGTAGAACCTACCATTTGGATTTCAAATCAGTGAATAGAAACTTTTCTTTTTCCAGGTCATAAGTTTCTTTGCAATGTAATCTCTGAAGTGTCTGGAGAATCCAGGTAAAAATTATTTACTTAGTTTGGGAGGTAGGAGGGAGAGGGTCTGATGATGGGTATTGTACTTCAAGTTTATCAGTTTATAAAGACACAAAAAAACCCATTCAATTCTGAGTTAAGGACCTGTGCCACAAAATCATTCTGCTCTTTGCTAGAAGTACTTAAAATTTGCTACCTCTCTTTTGATTATGCTTAATACCAGTCCCAGTCATGTGTATAAACATCATGCTGATCATATTCTGATCACTGGTGGTTGTTACATTGAAATTTCATTCGTATTTGGGTGGCTTGGGAGCAAGCTGTCAGAGGGCATAAACTTTGGTTCTCTTATTACCTTAAATTAAAACTGCATTTAAAACTCACAAAAATTCTATTTCCATAAGGCACCGATAGAATTCTGGTTGTAGTCCACAGACTTTTATCAAAGTCCCCTATATGTACCTGCAAGCTTATTGTGAGCAAGACTGAAGCAAAGAAAGTTATGCATGAATATCAACCACAAACTGGTTGAGTTAGATTTCATAGACATTCATTTCTAAAAAGCATGAAAAGTGCCAGTGCATAACACAAATAAGAAGATAGTGTAAAACTTCTAAGCCTGTAAACAACAATTGCTATTCTGCCTGTGTCACTGGTTGTGCTCACAGTGTACAAGATTATTTCAGAATACACAGGGCAGAAGTCTTCCAGTATTACTACAGGCATCTGAGAATCCCTTCCACTGAAGTGTTTGCTGGTCTTTACCCCTTTAGGTACCACGTACAAATATCTACCAAAGCCAATGATGGTTGCTATTCAGTGGAGTCTTATTCTGTATGCTTGTTTCCTTTGACTCAAGTTACTTGTCAGCAGAATCCTGTTGCCACTGCAATTTAAGCAAGTTTGGATTAATCCCAAGACATGCCAGTTGTTTGCACCAAATCATTGATGCTTCCTGAAGACTATGGCATTTTTATGCTGCTCTTCCATTAGCCTCACTGCCTATTCACATCTGAGACTGATCTGCCGTGGTTGTATGAACCTCCTTCTGGTTAGTGTGTTTTGATTTCCTTGCCTAGTGGCTAGTGATCTTAACTTGACCAGGAATCCAAGGTAAAAGTGTCCATATTTTATTTCCATAAACATGTGAAATTGTATTTCTTGCATGTTAATGTTTTTTAAATGCATTTTTGTATTTTCCCTAACTGGTGTAGTCAAGGATTCAAAAGAGAAAACACCATAATCAGATGTGCCTAATAAGTATTTAGGAAGCTTACAAGGCATAGAAGTTCCTTATCTAATAAGATTTACAGCTCATGCTGTGGCAAGCTTCTTAACCAGGTGTGACATGTGTTCTCATAGTATTTCCCTATCCATTTTTGGCTAGCTCTTACGGACTAGTGCCTGCAGCTGAATATGCAAGCAGTAGGGACGCAACCTGAATGCAGTTGTTTTACAGTACTGTAAGAGACAGGCTGTTTTCTTCTCTTTAGTCTTAGAATCCTTCATTTTAGCTTAGTTTTAATATTCCTGCTCTCTTTCTTTGGCAAGATTTTA